ACCAAGATGGGTTAACTCTGAGGAGATGTGAGGATACAGAAGAATGACAAAGTTCATTTTGGGATATGTTGGACTTACTATGCAATCAGCTGGTGGAGACTCTCCGAGGTGGTTGAACTTGGGTGCAGAGTAAAGGAGTGAGGCCGGGCCTTCAGGGACCTCCACGGCATGAATCCACTCCAATGATGTGGCACTTTCTCTAACTATGCCTAGTATATCCTGCCCAAGGAATTTACACATACCCAGGAAGCTTCCTGTCTCCTCCATTTGCCTAAATCCTTCATCACTTACCCACCTGTGGCCATCCTCAGACCAAATTCCTTTACAACTGGATTGTACTGTTCATTCCGCACTTGGCCGGGGCTGCTCTGTGGCGGTGACTTCTTTGGGCACATGCCCAGTCTCCACAGTTAGCACCAGTCAATAAACACTAAGGACTGCACTGGCTGAGGCTCTGGGTAAGGCCCTGGGTTAAAGAGAGACATACTTGTCCTCATGGAATTTACAGCCTACCAAAAGCCTGAAGAGGAAGAAATAAAATTGAGTGCGATGGCATCTTCAGGTTGCTGAAGAAACAAATGGCATGGAAATTTTTTTTTTTTTGGAGGCTTCCCTGGAGGGAGTGATCTTTTAAATGGAGCCCTGCCCAGCTGGTGTGGCTCAGTGGTTGAGCCTCAGCCCATGCACCAAGAGGTCACCAGTTCAATTCCTGGTCAGGGCACATGCTTGGGTTTCAGGTTCAGTCCCTAGTAGGGGCTTGCAGGAGGCATGTTGATATTTCTATCTCTCTCCCTCTCCCTTCCTCTCTCTCTCAAATCAATTTTAAAAATATTAAAAAATAATCCTATATAATAAAAGGCTAATATGCAAATCGACCAAAGGCTGAACGACCAGTTGCTGTGATGTGCACTGACCACCTGGGAGCAGATGCTCAATGCAGGAGCTGCCCGCTGGTGGTCAGTGCACTCCCACAGGGGGAGCGCTGCTCAGCCAGAAGCCGGGCTCACGGCTGGCGAGTGCAGCGACAGTGGCAAGAACCTCTCCCACCTCCGCAGCAGCGCTAAGGATGTCCGACTGATGGCTTAGGCCCGCTTCCCACACTGGCAGTCAGACATCCCCTGAGGGCTCCAGACTGTGAGAGGGCACAGGCTGAGCTGAGGGACCCCCCTCCCCCAGAGTGCACAAATTTTGTGCACTGGGCCTCTAGTTTAAAAAATAAAATAAACAGAGCCCTGAATTAACCTTGGTGGAGAGATAAATAGGAACATTCTAAGCAGAGGGAACTGTTATGTGGATAGGCCCCGGAAGAGAGTGTGCTATGTGTAGTATGGATGGCTGGTGTGGCTGAATTGGGGCAGAGGCCAGCAGGGGCAACAGATCCCCCAGGGCCACATAAGCCATACTTATTCACTTATTCAACAAATCTTTCTTTAGTGTCAAATGTGTGCCAGGCAATTTTACTTGGCAGAAGTTGAGCAATGGTGTGGACTACTATAATGAACACGCTACTTTCTACTTGGGGAGATAGAAAATAAACAAATACATAAACAAGGAGCTGTAGGACAAGGCCTCCCTAGAGAGGGTGGTCAGGGAAGACCTGTTTGTGAGGTGACATTTGAGCTGAGGCCTGAAAAATGAGAAAACTAGCTTTTTGTTGAGTTGGAGGCATAGCATTTTGGGCAGAGAGAACAAGTGCAAAGGCCCTGTGGTAGGCATATTTGAGGAACAAAAGAGAGATTACTTGGCTGGATAATTGCGAGTGGTTAGGAGTAGAGTGAAAGAAGGAAAGCAGGCCCAGATTTAGTATGGTTATGGTAAGTAAGGCATGGTAAATTATTAAGTACAGAAATAATCAGATTTATAATTTTTTTTGGTTAATCCTCACCAGAGGATATATGTATATATTTTTAAGAGTGGAAGGGAGGAGAGACAGAGAGAAAAACATTGATGTGAGAGAGACACATTGATTGGTTGCCTCCTGCACCCGCCCCAACCAGGGCCTGGGATTGAGCCTGCAACCGAGGTACACGCCCTTCACTGTAATCGAACCCATGGACTTCAGTCCGAGGACAGATGCTCTAACCACCATCTAGGATAAAATTTATTTTAAAAAGAGTATTTTTATTGGTTTCAGAGAGGAAGATAGAAACATCAATAAGAGAGAATCATTGATCGGCTGCCTACGGCATGCCTCCCACTGGGGACTGAGCCAACAACCCAGGCATGCGCCCTGGCCAGGAATCCAACTGTGGCCTCCTGGCTCATAGGTTGATGCTCAACCACTGAGCCACACTGGCTAGGCCAGATTTGTTTTTAAAAGACAACTTGGGTTGCTGTGTGCAGAATGGACTGTGTACGGGAAGAGTGCAAGCAGGAAGACCAACTTTAAGTCTTGGCAGAAGTTGAGCAATGGTGTGATCTTGGATAGTAGAGGATGGCAGCAGTGGAGAAGGGTAAATAGATTTCAGAGAGAGACAGGAAGTAGGTCTGGGAAAAGGAACAAATGTGGAAATGAAAGAGGGACAGAGGAGTCAAGGCTAAACCGTGTTTCTAGATTGAATAACTAGATGGCTGGTGGTCATTTTGCATCGAGGTGTGAGATGGAGATATCTTGAGGACCCCCACTTCCCCAGATAGCCCAGAGGATACAAAGAAGTCTGTACAGGTCTGCAGCTTGGGAGAATGTTTTCTGTAGATACCACATTTTGGAATGCTTACCTATGGGTGATAATTGGAGGTTCATTGAGTGACAAGAACTCCTGGGATAGCAGAGTAGACCAAGTCAAGAGATAGACAAGTACCTGCTGGAGGTAATGAACATATTAGTGACTTCAGAGTCACCTCAGGAGAGTGGTGAGTGGGAGGTGAGGAAATAGACCGTGAGGGGCAATGAGCTTTTCAGAAGCTTTGCCAAGAATAAGGGGGGCGTGGGATTGAGACAAGAGCTCTTGGACAGGGCCTGGGTTTTCAGCCCTCGGTGGTTCCAGGAACCCAGACCAGGCCCTGCAGGGAAGGCTGTCTTCCTTAAGGGCAGAGAGCGAGTCATCAGGGCCCAGCCCACTTCCCATCAGAGGCCTGGGTGGGGTTAGCAGTCACTCCTAACCTTGGGTGAGGCTGACTCAAGGTGGGAAGGTTGCCCCAACTCCCAGTGATAAGCCCTTGCATGACCACAGTGAAACCCTGACCCCCCCCCCCCCCCCCCGCAATTTCCCAAGGCAGTGCACTCTGGAAGAAAATAATCTCATTTCTTTTCTTCTCAGTCCTTAGTGGTCTGACCACCCAAGGTGAACAAACTGAAATGAGAAAGTACAGGAACAGCAGCACAAAACAATGTGAAGATAGGTTGCTTATGGGATTTTCAGGAACAAGAAAGATGGTTCTAGAAAAAGAGGCAAACAAGTTGGCTTCAAGAGTCTTCCCATATTGGCCCCTGCCTCCCACTTCCATTGATTCCAGTGACCACACAGCAGTCAAACCTTTTTTTTTTCTCACTTTATTGTACAAAAAAAGGGAAAACAAAACTTCCACAGTTGGCCTTTAGCTTAGGCAGACACCTCTAAGCCACTCCCTCCCCCTCCCATGATACAAATTCAAGTTGTGGTTGTTGTTAAAACCTACAAAAACACTCCTTAAATATTAGAAAAAAAATTGGGGGGGGCGAGGATGTGGGGGTCCTCCCACCCCAGCCATCCCATCCCAGTGCCAAAATGCACTCAGAGTGACCTCTTACAGCACCAACACCCCCACCCCCACAGCCCTGTTTGTACTGTAAGAATTTTTCAATTTTTAAAACAGGAAATAAAAAGCGCCCCAAAGTTGTTTTTAAATGAAAACACATTCCACTAAAACACAACAGCACAGGGGCACTCAGACAGGGAATGGGGTTCTCTGTAAGGGCTCTTGGTAAGAAATAGAACCTGGGAAGCCCTGTGCCTAATTCCAGGATAGGGACAAAGGAAGGGGGGAGTGGGAGTGGGAAGTGGCCCTCCCTAGCTCCCCCAACCCCAGCACCACGTCCAAGGCAAAGATTGTTTGCCTTCCTTTGGGAGCAGGATCCACTTTTCCTATCCCACCTCCTAGGTGGAGTTCCCACTCTTCCCCCATTTCTTGGCTTTCATTCAGAGGGGGGACGGTTGAAAAGCACAGAGCCCCAATTAAATAGCTCGCTGACATGATTGCAAAAAAAAAAAAAAGCCACAATTCAATCAAAAAAATTAAACCCACAGAGACAAGGTGGCTTGGCTTATTAAGGATCTAGGAATCAGGGTACCAAAATTTTGGGGATAGCTGGTAAGGGTTAGAGGGACAGCTGCAAAAGGAGCTTTTACAGACCTCTCCCCCAGCTGTGGGTTTGGGAGGCGGGGGCGGGGAGGGGGTAGGGGCAGGAATGGAGCAGACCTGAGAAATCAAAGGAAATGGGGCAGGGGAGCTGGAGGATATGAAGGCAGGAGGGGTAAGAGGTTGCAACACACCTCTTGAAGCCCAGGTCCTGGGCCTAGGGTGACCAAGGGACCCTTGGATGGGCTTGAGGCCCTTCCCACCAAATACAAGCTTTAATTCTCAGCTAGTCTGCCCCCCTCCCTGCCATCCTGCTGGAGGCCAGCAGCAGCTCAGAGTCATGGCTCTGGCAGAGGGAAGCTGCTAGGAAGCATCAGCGAGGGCTTCAGTAGACCCCCGTCACTGAATCAGAGGTTAGGCAAAGCAGAGGAGGTGAGAAAGGGGCCGCCCCAGCCTGTTCCCACCAGGATGTCTCCCTGGCCTTTGTCAACCCTTTTACCAGATTCATGGACTGATGTGGGTTCCCCCCTCTTACACACACACACACATATACATGTGCCTTTGCACACATCCACAGGTACACCCATGCTATGTACAGGACACACACACACACACACACACACACTCACTCACTTTTCCATACGTATCAAGTTTTAAAAAGTCCCAAACTTACCCCCCTAAACCCTCCCTCCCGGAGAAATGACAACAGAGACGGCAGCCGAGATCGGTAGGAAACGTCTCGTTGACAGCTCAGAGCTTAAAAAAAAATATATACACATATATAAAAAACACCTCTGCCCCCTCCCCCCAAGAGTGGGTCCAGGTAGCTCCTTCCCGCAGCGGGCAGGGGAGAGGGCAATGGGGCAGGGCCTGTTTTCTCACAGGCACATGCCCTCCTCTCTCCACATTCCCTGCCTCCAGTTCCAACGTAGGGGGTCCAGGCAGCAAGCCCCTCTGGGAAGGGAGGGGTCCTCCCCAAACTTCCACCCCCCCTTAAGTTGGGCTGCAGGTTAGAGGGCCTCACTGAACTCTTTGGGACCCCCACCCCACTCCCAGGTCCATTGTCCGTGCCAGAACCGCAAGTGCAGAAGAGTGGTGGGACGGTCCAGTCCAGTGGTGGCTCAGTCTGACGGTTGCCCTCCCTGGAGAGTCCCCAGGGCTGATGTCTCTGAGGCTGCAGAGTCCTGGCCTGGGCTCCTCCAGCCCCTCCCCCCCCCACCATATTTTGTTTAAAAAAAGGAAGAAAGAAAGAAAGTGGGGGAGGGCAGGGGACAGAACAAGGGGGAAAAACAAAGGCGAGGGGAGCCCCAGGTGGGGCTGAGCCTCAGTTGGAGTCCGAGTCTGAAGAGTCCCCTGAGGAGGAAGAGCTGGAGCTGCTACCCTCAGACTCGTTGTCTTCATCCTCGTCATCATCCTCATCATCATCTTCATCCTCGTCATCCTCCTCATTCTGGGGGCAAGAAACATGCCATCACCAGGTGGCCACCCTGGCAGGGCCTCACCCTCCCTTCCCACCATGCCCATCCACCCCACCTCATCCCCGTCCTCGCTCTCATCCTCGCTGCTGGACTCTGAGGAGTCCCCGCCATCCTCGGAGGAGTCCCCATTCTCATCATCTTCCTCCTCTTCCTCCTCGTCCTCTTCATCCTCGTCTTCATCCTCCTCCTCCTCAGACTCCTAGGGGGACAGAGTTGCATCAGTGGTCTCTGCCGCGCCTCCCCGCCCCCCGCCAGAGGGTTCCTTACAGATTTGGACTGCAGGGTAGTCCGGCTGGACTTGGGGTTCGGGCCTCGCAGCTTGGTCATGCTCTTACGTTTCTAGAGGAGAGGACGCAGACACAGACAAGGGGGCAGCCATGAGTCCCAGACACCCCCAATCACTCCTTACCCCAGTGCCCTCCTGCTCCCAGACTTACATTGGAGATGTACTCTTTATATGCTGCACGGTCTTGGGGAGACAGACTCTGGGAGAGACAAAGGAGGAGGTAAGCACTGGAACACCACCTGGTGGGCCAAGCATTGACGCTAACCATTACTCTTCCCGATCTCCCTGTACCTTGGGTCTCCGCAGAAAACCCCTGGGATCTGAGAACCAAGTTCCAGTATTTCTGCTTAAGATGCTCGGAATCCTTTTCCAGGCGCCCTATCCTAAGACTATTGTTTAGACTGTTGTTTTTCATGTCCCCTCGAATGAAAGCTCCAGAGTCAGGGCCTTCCTCGATTCAGACAAGTCCCCCATGACAACCCCCTCCCCCCAGAGCCTGGCATCATCACTCCCACCCCAATACCAAACCTGGAGCCACTGACAAGGCAGTCTGGGGCTCACCAAACTTCTTGAATACCTAAACCCTGCTACTTCCCTGAGTCCTTGGCCGTAAATGACTCCACTTTACAGACCTGACTGCTAAACCACGGCACAGAGAGGGGGCCACGCCAGAATCGAGGAGAGGTCCGTGGTTCCAAATGGGAAGGAAAAGGCAGTCTGATTTAGATTTTTCTTACTAGCTAGCTGTGTGATCTTGGGTAAGTTACTTAACCTCTCTGAACCTTGGTTTTCTTATCTTTGATAGCAATCATTACCTTGTAGGACCCCGAATAAAATCATGAATGCAGACCAGCCAGCATGATGCCTCCCTCTTCCCAGGGCCCCCTGCCCTCTCACCTTGACCCAGAGGTCCAGGTGCACTTTGTACTGCTTCTGCTGCTCCTCAGCCAGCTTTTTGTAGTGCTCCTTCTGGCTCTGGGAGATGCGCTGCCAGCGGCTGCCAATCTCCACCATGCGCTCCTTCAGTGGCAGGTGGTTCAGCTCCCCGTTGGACAGCAGCTCCTGGGAGAACTTCTGGTAACCGTTCCTGAGAAGAAGTGGGGGTGGTGCAGGGAGGGTCAGAACACCATCCAAGCAGCTCTCCAGCTCTGGCCCTCCTCACCTCCAGGCTGGGCTCCAGACTCACATGGGAGGCTTCTTGGGTTCTCCCTGGAACTTCATCTTCTTGGATGAGTTTGCAGCAGCTGGCGGTGCCCTCATCTCACTCAGCTCTCTCTGTGGGGATACCCAGAAAGGTTACAGTCATCCCATCCCCACCCCCCAACATGTTTCTGTCTCTTGTCCCATGCCGTGAGTGTCCCAGCTGACTCCTTTTGTGTGCCAGGAAGGAGGAGAAACTGAGGCACAGCCAGGGAGCAACTTCCTAACAATTCACACCTGTGGTGGGCACTGCGGCTTGAAAGTGCTGCCATAATTGCACTCGTGTGACTTCCATTGCCAGATCCCTTTTACTGATGTGTGACTGAGGCTCAGAGAAGGAAGTTAAGAGACTTGTTCTGGGTCACACAATCAAGGCTGGGATCTTAGGCTCCCAGCGCCAAGCAGCGAAGAAAGCTGCACACCAGAAAGGGGGCCCCCAAATTTTAAGTGGAGGGCGATAGCCCCAGCTCCACCCCACCCCACTGCTCTACTCTAACCAGCAGCCCCTTCCCACCTCATATCGCTTTTGGTCTTCGGCCGCCTTCTTAATCCACATCAGTTTCTCCTTCTTTTCCATGTTGTTCCAGGTCATCTCCATGGCTTTCAAGGCCTTCACCCGATCGTTCTGGGGACAGACAGGGGTGTCAGCTGTGGGAGGGGTCACCTGGGACTGGAGGCCGCCTGCGTGGGCAGGCTGCAGAACAACCTTCCTGCCCCTCTTTCCTACCTTGAAGCGGGCCAGGTAGTCCCCGATGACGCTCTGCTGCCAGATCTCCTCGGCCCTCTTGGGTGACTCCGGCAGTTTGCCCCTTTCCTCGCGCTCCCCAGCCGGCTTCCTCTCCGACTGGGCCTTCAGCGCTGCCTCCCGGGCCTTGTATTTGGCCTGCAGAGGGACGGCACCAGGCGTCAGCCTCGCGGCCACCCCCAGAGGGCGCTCGTTCCCCATCCAGCTGTGGAAGGTTCCCACCGCAGCCAGGGCGGGACCAGCAGCGGCTGGGCCGGTGCAGGCATCTCCAGCCTCGGGCTCAGCCCCGCCCACCAGCGCTGCTCCCCCGGGAGCCAACAGCCCTCAGCTGACAGCTTCCCGCCTTCCGGCTCTCGCTGGGCTCCCAGCCCCAGCATCTGGGCCGAGGCACAAGTGTGGCCGGCACAGGGCAGGGGCGAGGCAGTGCGGCCAGGCCCTAGAGGGGAGGCGGCCCACATTCAGATGCCTGGCAGCCCCTCTGGTCTGGCCAGCCTGACCTTCTTCTTCTCCGATAAGTCGTTCCACATGCGGGCCAGCAGGCGCGTCAGCTCGCTTTCCGAGAGCTCTGGCCGCTCCTCCTGCAGTTGCCGCCGCTTCTCCTCCGAGAAGATGAACATGGCTGACACTGGCCTCTTGGGCTTCTCTGAGCTGCCCTGTAGATGTGCAAAGAAGGTCAGAGTCAACGGAGTGTTGGCGGGGAGCCTCCCTGCCCCCCTCCCAGCAGCTCAGGGGTGCTCCCTGCCCACCTTGCCCCCTTCCTGGGAGGGCTTCTTGGAGGCGGGGCTGGTGGTTTGCTTCTTGTTGATGTTCAGCATCTTTTCTTCCCCCAGGACCCGCTGCTGCTCCTCCTCTGGCAGGCTCTGGTCCGGGGAGAGAAGGTGGCATGCGGTTGTGTGCCCAGTTCCCAGTCCGCTCCCAAACTGTCCAGCGGGTCTTGCACGCTGCCTCGCCCACTCACCTCTAGAAAACGGAGCAGTTCCACCTCATAATCTTTCTTTTTCTGGGAAAAGAAGGGGAGCCAGGGTCAGTCTGGGGGCAGGCTCGCTGGGAACCCTCTATAGATGGTAAGCATAAGGCCCAACGTTATCTGTTGGTCTGTCCAGGGGCTAAACCCAGCACACCAACTTTGAAGCAGGTGCCCGAGGGGTCAGACCTCATGCTTCAAGGCTCCCAAGGATCTCCAGGAATCCTCCCTCTCCAGGGGGGCTCCCGCCACAGCTCACCTGGTCACACTTCTTGTGGTAGGCATCCTTCTCCTTCTGGGAGAGCAGCTTCCACTGCTGGCTGCATAGCACCATGCGCTCTGTGCTGGGCACATCCTTCATGTTGGCCATCAGCTCCGCGCAGTACAGCGAGTAGCTGTTCCTATCAGAACCAAAGCCAGGGAGGAGCATCCCTGTGAACAGGGCGGCCCAGGGCAGCAGAGCCTGGGCCCAGGTCCTTCACCAGGCAGCTCTCTGCCTGCCCAGGCGCCCACTCACCCGCCCCCCCCCCCACCCCCCAGGGCAGTGCTCACGGAGGTGGCTTGGTAGGTCGCCCATCAAATTTGTCCTTGAGCTGGCGTTCAGCCTTGGTGAGGGTGGACTTGGTGATGCCCTCCTCACTGATGTTCAGCTCAGGGTGCTTCTGGATATAGTCACGCATAATCTCCTGCAGAGTGAGGTGGGAGGATGGAGGGCAACGGGGTGTGGGGTTAGCGGGGGCCAGGAACGGGGGGAGAGCCGCTGGGAAGGGGAGGCAGGGAGCAAAGCTGGGGGTGGCCGTGTGTGCTGTGTCACACAAGTGGTGCCCTGCCCTGCCCTAGCCTGCGATCTCATGGGGAGGGGGTGTGGGGAAGGTAGGGGCAGAGGCGAGGGGCCCAGGAGGCCCCTCCCTCAATGGGGGGACGGGGGAGTGACTGCCTCCCGCGGAGTTCACTGCGGGGGGCCACAGAGTCAGAGGGCAGAGGCTCATGAAGAGCCGGATGGGGAGGAGCGCAGCGGAAGCCTAACCTCGTACTCCTTCCGCTGCTCCAGGGCCTTATGAATCCATTTCAGCCTCTTTTTGTCCGAGAGCTGAGACCACTGCTTCCCCAGGGAGTCCTTCACCTCCTTCGTAGTGGCCTGCAAACCAAAAGCCGTCAGACACACGCAGGCAGCCGGGGGCAGGAGGAGGGGAGGGGGGTGGGGGGCGCAAAGGCCCCGCCCCCTCGGGCCACAGGAGGTCACAGGCGTGTCCCCCACAGGCCAGGAGGAGAAGGCAGAGGCGGGGTCCCGCCTGGGTGCAAGGGGACAGGCTCACTCACACGCGCACGCACACGCTTGCACGCCAGCTGGCCCCGGCCCTGTCCATGCAGCCCACCCCTGGGGAGGGGCCTCCTCTCCTGCTCCGTGCCCAGCCGACCTGGCGCGGCTCCCCCCTGGCCACCGCCATGTGCCCTCTGCCCCCACCCCCTGGCCGGACACTCACATCTGGCCGAACTTTGAGATACACTTTCTTCTCGTGGGTGTACCACAGCTGCTGGGGGGTTTTGGGCTTCTCGGGGATGTCCGACTTCTTGGCATTCTGGATTAAGTCAGGGTGATCCTCCCTAGCCAGGGCGCGGGGAGCAACAATCAGCAACTTGGAGGGAGCTCCCGCCAGGGCAGACCCAGCTAGCTGCCCGCCCGCCAAGGCCCGGAGGACTACCGACTGGAGACCTGGGGGACAGCGGCTGCCTGCCTGTCCCTGCCCTTGAGCATGAGCCACTAGGGTTTACCCAGGACCCATCATCTTCCACACCGCATGGATGGCAAGCTTGAGGCTCTGGTCGGTGTTACCCTATCCTGTCACACCCAGTGCCCTGTGGCCCTTCTCTGGGCTCCACTGCCTTACCTGAATCGGGCCAGGTTTCGCTCGAACTCCTGTTTCTCCCTCTGGAAGTCCTGAATATACTTCATCTGGGGGGGAGGAGGGGACCGGGGTCATCCACAACCCAAGGCCTGAGCTACAAAAGCCACAGAGCCCTCCTGGCTAGCTATTCTGCCTCCCAGTTTGTGACATGGATGAATGGAGGATGGCATGGGCAGGCAGGGGATGCTGGTCTGCCTTCGTGGGGAGGGGGCGGGGGGGGGGGGGCAGGGCTCAACAATAGCCCACATTAGTGAGAGCTTACAGGGGTCTCCCAGAACACATCCTATTCCATTTGTTTATGACACCCAGTCACACAGTAAACAGTGACAGGGCTGGGACTCCCCCAAACCTACCCCTCCGCCTTTCCCCAACACCTCAAAGCTCCCACAATGATTGTCAGGAGGTGTAGGACTTGCCTCCATCACTCCCTCCACCCATGTCTGTGGCAACTGATATTGTCTAGTCCAGTGGTCGGCAAACTCATTAGTCAACAGAGCCAAATATCAACAGTACGATTGAAATTTCTTTTGAGAGCCTAATTTTTTAAACTTAAACTATATAGGTAGGTACATTGTTATTAACTTAATTAGGATACTCCCAAGGCTTAGGAAGAGCCACACTCAAGGGGCCAAAGAGCCGCATGTGGCTCACGAGCCGCAGTTTACCGACCACTGGTCTAGCCCATGAGAGTTAGTCCTGCTTCCAAGGCAGGAGAGGAGTGTACTGAAGGGAGCTGAGTGAATTCCTGCAATGCAAGTCACATCCTAAGAGATGTCTCTTGAATTGGGATATTTCCCCCCTCCCACCACCTCTGGACCCCTGGCTGCCTTTCACCATCCTGGTACCATCCTCCTCCCATCCTCAGCCATCGCCTTCTCCTCTGCCATTTGGCGTCCCCATTTTCTCCTCCACCCCTTCCATCAGCCTGGCCCTCTTTCCCAACCATCACCTGACTCTTACCCTGAATCTTCCCCACTTCTCCACACTCCTCTCTGCTTCCTTCCCAATGTCTTTTTCCTTCCTGATCTGCCTTCGGTCACGGCTCCCACTCAGTGTTCACCTCCCTCCCTCCTCCTTGCCTAGATTCACAATCATTAGCACTGGAAGGGGCCAGGGGCTCAGTGTTTGAGCCCAATCCCTGCCTCTCGCGGGAGAGAGAGACACCAGGTGTGGGGAGCCCCTCTTTCCTCGGGCTCCCACAGAAAACTGGGAGCAGAGCCCAGCCTGCTTGACCCCCATCGCAGCCCTCCTCACACAACAACAGCAGCTTTTCGAGCTGGATGGCACCACCGAGCTCAGGCTCAGGCTCCACACCTGTCAGATAAGACCAGGTCTGGAGAAGTAAAGTGACTTACCGAGGGCACACACAGCAATTCAGCGGGAGCCAGAACAGGTCCGAGTCTCACGGCCCCTAGGCCAGCACACTATCCGCTCTATCACACAGTTTCTCCTGCCCCTCCCTGGTCCTCAGACCCTCTGTCTCTTCCTCCCATCCCATGAGTGACTGGGTGTCGTTTGTATAGTTAGCTCTTCAATATCCCCATCAAAGGGTCAACAGCTCCAGCAATTCAGGCTCCTGCTCGTCTCAGGCAGCAGTTGAAGACAGCTGGTTTTATCCAGCCAAATTCGCTCCTTTTTGGAGTCCAGAACCAAGGGCATGAGAGCCTGCAGCCAGGGTGCACAAACCAGGCAAAGGGCTACTCACAGTGCACTGGCCAGTGCCACCTCCTGAGAGCTGGTTGTAGGCAACTCTGATGCCCCTCCTCACCTCTCTGGCTCCATCTTGGCCGTCTAGCATCTCTTCTTTGGGCCCCTCTCTCCCTACCCCGTCTCACTCATGTCCCAGCTGCAGGATCCCCCAGTGCTTTGCTGCCTCTCTCTTTGAGGGACTATTGATCTCACTGTACTTGACCATCTATCTCTGCCTGGGAGGCTAGGGCAACCTCTGCTCCAGGTTGACAGCCTCCAATGGTCTGGTATAGCATGAGGCCACCAGAGACCATGTGTGTCCTTGGGCAAACATGTGTGCATGGGAAGGAAACCCACCTAACACATGGGTGTGGCCATGCGAAGAGCACTAGGCAGGGAGTCTGGAGCACTAAACCCAAGTCCTGCTCCAGCATCATTACTTCAGTGACCTGGGACACGACACCCTCCAGCACCCCAGTTCCTCGCTCACAAAATCGGATAACCTGTTCTTCTAGGGTTGCCTTTATGAGGATACTGCAAGCATCAAATGAGACCATGTCAGGACATGTCAGAGGGTGAAGAACTGCTGTGTGAAAGAACACTGTGGATTGTGGCTGGTCCCAGCACCTAGCTCAGCCTGGGCGACACCCGTGACAGTGCCTGTAATTTATGGTGTGTGGGCTGGGAAGTGGGTGATCAGGAGCGGCTGCCCAAGACCCTACTCTGCTCTGCTGACCTACCCACATCCCTGATACCAAGTCCCTTTGTCTGAGTCCCCCCGACACCCCCCCCCGGCCCCCCCGACCCCAGCAGCTGACCCACACCAGCTGCTACCAGCCTTTCCCTCCCAGCCACTTTGGCCCCCCTCCCCCCACCTTCTTCTTCTCGGGCAGTTCCTTGTATTTCTTGGACAGAATCTTGGTCAGGTCCAGGTTGCTCATCTCAGGGTGAAGTTTAGCATATTTGGCCCTCTTTTCCATGAAGAAGCGGAAATAAGGGGTCAGGGGCTTCTTTGGGAAGTCTGGGTGTTTCTGAAACGAGGGATAAGGACACAGTGAAGGTCAGCCACCATCCATTCTTTGGACCATGCCTCTCCTGCCCCTTGTGCTCCTCCTCCTGGAAACTCACCTTGAGTTTTTTGCCTTTGTAAGGATTTTTAACGTGTTCCTGAGCGTCGAGGATCAGTTCTGTCAATGTCCGGAACTTTCTCACCTGGAAGAAGGAGGGAGGTGAGTGGAAGGGGAAGTTCAGAAGAGGGGACACTACCAGGTAACATACGCCCATTTTCCAACCGGTTTCCTCTACTTTCCATTAGACTAAACTTATCCAAAGAGGAGGGGCAGAGGCCAACTGTCACAACTCAGGTGGCTCCTGACATCAAGGCAGACTCCCGGGCACCGGCTCATGCCTCCTGCAGAGGCCCTGGCAGTGAGACACACCAAAGGTCAGCAACAAGGTGACCACCTGACCTCACTGTGGTTGTCTATGCCAGCACCCCCTTCAGCCCCCAGAAGAGCTCAGGAAACAGAAGCTCCAAGATGGTAAGTATCCAAGGCCACAAAGCTAGAAACTGGCAGAACTGAGAATTCTAGGCCAGTGCGGTCAACTGTACCACCTCCCAAAATGCGCCCGGTCTTCTCTTGCCTTCCTGTTTATAGACTTCTGTTTCATCTCCCACACCAGGAAAGTTAAGGCAGGGGTCCCTATAGATGTGTGCTCCTGTGTGTCAGGAGGGGGGGGGGTATCAGTTACCTCGTTAGAAATCTCCACCCATTTGAGCTTGCACATGTCTCCAGAAAAGTCTTTAAATGCTACTTTTTCCCAGTCCATATGTGACTCAGTGGTTTTGAACTTGGAACTGTCATTGGATGGAAGGTTGTTCTTCATGCATTCTAGCAAAGTCAGCATGTCTTCCTGAGACCAGTGGTCTGGAGAGGGGTAAGAAAGGTGATCATGACTGGCTCATGCTATCCCTCCCATCAATTCCCCAGTCCCTACGTGCTCCACTCTTCCTCCCCAGAGCTTCCTAGTCCCTGGTTACTTCCCGTCTGAAGACAGACAAAACACGGCCAAGCCCTAAGGAGAAACTGTGGCCATATGAATTAGGGCAGGGACGCCCATCCAGACAGTGTCATACCTAGAAAGCCAGACTTGAGTGCCACAAGGTACTATTTATTGTAGGGAAGGAGGAAATGAAGCTACTGTGATTGGGGCCCTGTGGGAAAACAGATAGCTTATCAGAGAGGGGAGGGAAGCAAGAGGCAACATTTCCAAATGTGTCGCCAAGTTCAAGTCCAAATTCTAGGCAGATACCCTAAGGGTGGGATGTGGGTAGTGAGGAGACCCAATACAATGTTTCTCACCAGCACAGCTGGAAACGAACATTAGAGAAATGGGTATTCCATCATCTCCCTCCCTCTTGGCCTCTGAAGGAAGGTCTAAGGAGAATTTGGGGCAAGTAAGAAAAACTGAATGGAAATGGTAATTTTGTTTCCATAAAAGAAAGCTTTAATGCAAGGGAGGCAGGAAGGTGGGCAAAGATGCTCAGGGCCCTGCTCCACGGAGGACCCCCCCTCCCCTCGAATTCTGAGTTGTCTTCTCAGCCTAACTCCCATGTGGGCATCAAAGGGGTCTGGGCCAGTCACCGAAATGCAGCTGCAGTGAGGCCTACCCTAGAGGGTGAGCTGGGAGAACAGCTATCCAAGGCTCGCAGTCAAAAGGGCTCTCATTTGCATTGACATCTGGTAACCTGGGCCTGGGTTTCTGTAGGGCAGGTCACATAAACCCATAGTCCTCTCCTCTCCATGGCCCACAAGCCTTGCCAGATGCTCAGCTCCACCTTACCCCGCCCCCCACCCCCGCTGGAGCCCTACTGGTTGGGGTAGGCGCTAGTGATAAAAATAACTCCCTGGGTGTAGGGTCTCAAACCATCCCCATACCCTTTCCAAGTACCTCACCAAAAAACGCGTCCTCTTAGTAATAAAAAACCCTGAAAATCCTTCCCAACCCCCGTCTGCTCCCCCTGCCTCCACATTCCTCAGCCTTCCTCCCATTCCTGGGGGTGGACACATCCCGGGCTGACTGGGAACCCCAGAAGGCAGCCTTACAGGGGCCTCCACTCTCCCTCTAACGCGAGGGGGAGGGGGGAATATGGAGTGTGAAAAATACAAGGCTTAATAATTCGGACTGAGCCAAACCCCGCGTGAGGGGCGCTTGACTCTTACAGACACCCTTCCCTTATCTCAACTCAGAGAATGCAGAGTGGAGAAACCCTGCAGAAAGGGAGTGGGCCCTGGAGACAGCCATGTGGGAAAAGAGGATTTAAGTTCAAGAGGACTAAGGATGGGGGCTCCTACCTTGGCCTTTGGGGGCGGCCATTTCCAGGTCTGTGGGGCAGTCTGCTTCTCCGTTCATTCTCCAGCCGTCCAGCCCAGCCACCTCCAGCCGCCTCCTCGGTCACGCTGGCCGGGCAATCCGGGTTCAGAGCCACCTCACCCTTTAGAAGAGAGACCAGCCTCTACTCAGGCGGGCAGAGAGGTGGAGGGAGTTCCTATTCCTCCCTCCCCCAGAGGGGAGGGGGGCAAACGTCCCCACTCTCAGCGAGACCCTCAGGACCCTAGTAGATGTGATGGGTAGGTGGGTGTGAGAGGACTGCCCCCCTCTTCCCCGTACCCCCACCCCCAGCCCTTGCAGCCAGGCTCAGCGGCGTGCGCCCTCCCCTGCCCACGCGAGAGACTGCTCGCAGCTCCCAGCTCCCGCGTGCAGCTAGCGCCCGCCTCCTTCCCCCACCCAGGCCCAAGGAAGAACTCCTCCTCCCCGAGCGCCCGCCCGGGGGAGGCCCCAGGCTGGAGGGCGGGGGAGGAGGAAGGGCGGGTAAAGGGCGCGCGCGGCCGCGGAAGCGGGCACGCGCCGCAGTCTCCTCCTCCCGCCTCCCCCCAGCCGGTTCCCCCCGCCTCCGCAACCCGGCGGGGACCCGGACGCCACGCAGCCGCCGCCGGCCCCGGAGAGCAGCGGCCGCACCGCCCCCGGGGACCGGATCCGGATTCCCGCCGCCCCCCCACTCGGGCACCCGACGCCGTCCCTGCCCGCCTGGGCGGGCGAGCAGCCGGAAAGAAGCGGCCTGCCCCCCACCCCCGAGCCACCCACCCGGGCCAGCGGGGCCGCCACCGCCCAGCTTCCCCGAAGCGCACGGAGGAACCCGGCGCAGAAGCGCGACCACGGCGGGAACCGCCGCCTCCTCCCCGAGCTGGCGGCCCAGCCCCGCCGGCGCCCCCGCCCCGGCCTCCGGGGAGCCGAGCCAAGGAGAGGGCGGGAGGACGGCGGCCCGGAGGCGGGGGCGCAGCGCTCACCGGCCCCGCCGCCCCCTCCGGCGGCCGGCGAGAACTGCGCCTGCCGGCTCGCAGAAGCGCGGCCTCCTCCGCTCGCGGCCGGAGCTCGGCTCGGGCCTCGCTTCCTGCCCTCCCCTCCCCCGGTTCTCGGCGTCCTCTCCAGTGCCCTGGCCTTCCCTCGCCCCGTGTTCTGCCCGGAGGTGGCCCGGGGACCCCTCCGAGCGATCACCGCACCCGCTGTTCGCTCCCCGCCGCCCAGTCCTGATCGCGGATGCGTCCCAAGCCGCTTCGGTTACCCGGCTCAGCGCGGCCTCCGGGCTTCGCGCTCCGGCGGCTCCCTCCCCGGTTCTGAACGGCGGCGCCCTCCCCCGCTCGGCCGGGCACAGCCGCAGCTCCCTCCCGCGGCGGCAGCAGCTCCTCCTCCGGGCGCGGCGGCAGCGCTGGGGCGGCGGCTGCTGCTGCTGCTGCTGTGGCGGCGGCTGTGGCTGCTGCCTGCTGCTCCTCGCGGCGAAAAGCACAAAGCACAGCGCCCTCCGCCTGCAGGCAGCCCGCCCGCCGCCCGCCCGCCCGCCGGCCCCGGCCTCAGCTCGCACACCCCCCGCCGCCGCAGCAGCCTCCGCCGCCGGAGCGGGGAGGAGGAGGGAGAAGGGAGGAGGAGGAGCGGGAGGGGGGCGGGAGAAGCGGGGCAGCGAGCGCGTCCTTCCCCGTGGAGCGCACACCGACCCCCGGGGAGCGAGCGCCAGCCCGCCCGCCTCGCCGGCTCCGCTCCCTCCCACAGCCTGCCCGGGCGGGCTCCGCGGGGGGCAGCTGGGAGGAGGGGCGGGAGCTGGGGGGACCCGGGCGGCCGAGGCGGAGGGAAGGAAGGAGAGGAGGGGGGGTGGTGGTGGTGGCGGCTGCTGCTGCTGCTGCCGCCGGGGAGGGGGGGGGCCGGGGCAGGGAGACACGCAGCCGCCCGGATGGCGGCGGAGCTCGGAGCCCTGGCGGGCGGGCGCCGAGAGCGACCTCGCCAGACCCGCGGGGGAACTGGCATGCTCGGCCGCGGGGAGGGAGGGCGCGAGGCGCGGTCTGAAAGGGTGCCCGCAGGGCCCCCGGCGGCCTGGGAGGCTTAGGGGTGCCCGTAGCCCTGCTCCGGAGCTCTCCCCCAAGTCCTCTAAGCTCAGATTCGGGCTTCCACGCCAGCTCTCACCCGCTCCCCGCTCCCGCCACCCGAAGCGGGCGGACCGCTCCCACCCTCATCCCGGGAGCGTGGCCACCAGCTTGGGGCGCACGCAAGTCGGACGCGGCGCCAGGCTTCGGCGCCTACCTCGCGGTTCCCTTGCTGCCGAACAGAATTCACACGAAACTTAAAAAAAAAGAGGGGGGGGGAAAAGACAGCAAACCTACAAAATTCCCTCTCTGTAGATTTCAGAAACAAAAACCCTTGGCTTCCTACACCCCAGAAAGGGCGAGGGAGCGACGGGCTCCGGCAGAGGAGCCTCTCGGAGCCGGTTCAATCCAGCCCGGCATGTCTCCCCAGGCCTGCCCGGGCGCATGGAGATCGGCGCCGCTGCCGCTCGCAGCAAGCTCTTCCCCCCGAAATCCACGGCGCCGGGGCTCACTTACCGAGCGTGTGAATGGGAGCGCGGGCCAGGGGCACCTAGGGGTGCGGCGGGCCGAAGAGCCGAGCCGCAGCTCCGCCGCAGCCGACGCCGGGGCAGTGAGTCGCCAGACAAAGCCCGAGATGGCGAAGCGGAGCGACGGCTAATGGCGAGCCCCACGCGCCGCGCTCCGCCCGCCCCGCTCCGCCCGCCCGCCCGCCTCGGCGCAGCGCGGCGCCGCTCCGAGCGCTCGACCGTCAGAGCCGCCTCGGCGCCGCCGCCTCCCGGGCCACCCAGGCCTCGCCTGGCCCCTCCGCCTCCTCCGGGCTGCTCAGCCTCACCCTTTCCCTCCCACTGCGCTGGGGGCTGCACGAAAAGAAAAAGGAAAATGCTTTTCTTTCTTTTTTTTTTGTTTGGCTGGGCGGGCGTGTTGAGACTTTTGGGTCTTGGGCCCCCAGCTCGCACTCACCTGCGGAGCTGCCGGGAGGGCTGGGGGTGGGGGCTCGCGGGGCTGGAGCCGGCGAGCGCGGGTTGAAAGCTAGCCAAGCTCTGCAGCGCCCGACCCGGGCGTGTACGCCGCCGCCAGTCCCCGCAGAGAAATCGTCCTCCTACCCCCGCCTCCATCGCTCTGCGTTTCTCTTCCAATCAGCCGGTCGCTTGGCGGCTCCTCCATGCTCCGGCCAAGCCCGCTGCCTGGAGCGAGCTTCGCTCCATCTGCTCGCCCGGCTCCTCGTTCCCCTATCGGGGCCGACGAGGCGACGTGGGGCCGGAGGGGAATCTGCGAGGGAACCTTCCTGCTTCCCGCTCCCATTGCTCCCTCCCGGCTGCCTCCTGCCTCCTGCTTCTCTCCTGCGTCTTTCCAACTCTCCCCTGTCGCCACTGGTGTGTGTCTGAGTGTGTGCGCGGCTTTTTTTTTTTTTTTTTTTTTTATTGCTCTTTGCTTTTGCAACCCTAAAGCCAAAGCAGGAGGGGGGGCGGGGGGGAGAGAAGGAGAGCAACGGGGAGGGGGGTGTTAAAAAAAAAAAAAGGCAAGAAAGAAGCTCTTAGATTTGCAACACATGGAAAAACCCGGGGAGCACCCCGCCTCGTCCGATCTCGGTGCGCCGCGGGAGCCTTCCGGGTTTTAGATAGAGCCTCTCGTCGTCCTCCAGGCCCCTCCACCTCCGCCGGGTTTAGGATCCGAGGAGTCCGAGCAAAAAGTTCTCCCCCTGGGAGCCGAATCAGGGGGTGTCAGGGTGGGAGTTGGGGGGATTTCTCAAGAAGCGGTAGCCATTCCTCGCACCCAGGCTTCGTTAGCTGGGCCGGGGTGGGGGTGGAGAGCAAAATCCCGGTGGGTTTTCGGAAGGGCTTCCCTTCTCGGGCGAAGTCGGAGCCAGGAGACAAGGCTTCGCACATCTCCCCTTCGGTCTCTGCCTCCAGTCCCCTGCCAGCTCCCCCTTTAATTTTTTTTTTCTTCTCCTTTAATCTAATTTCTTCCAACTCCACCTTTGTTGTTAATCGGCGTCACGCCGGGATCAGCCAATCCTCGCCACGCAATCAGCTTGTCAAAAAGACTGGGCCAGCCCTGGGAAAGCAGGCCACGGGCGCTGCCCCCACTCCCGTCCTCCCCTCCACCCCACCGACAGCCGGGAGCCCCGAGGGGAGCCTGGCACCCTGGCCTCGCCGCGCGAGCCGCAGCGGGGCAGCCTTCGCCGAGGCCTCCCGCACTCCAGCACCCTGCGGCCCGGAGATCGGAGATCGAGAGGCCTGGGCGGAGGCCACGCTCTACCCTCCCACTGCAGGCGGCTGTGGTTGTCGGGCTCAGCCTTCCCTCCTCCGAAGAAGGCTTATTAGGACGCCGGGAGCCAGAAGATGGAAGAACGCCTGACTCCAACAGGCGTGCCTACGGTTTGGGCCATAGCATTGGAGGCAGCCATTGCTCCTGCTCCCAGGCCGCCAGTCTCCCTCCCACACCAACACGGCTCCAGCCCACATCTCCGCCAGCTGGGTCACCAGCCCCTTTGGACTCTCCCCTGGCACGCAGCCTTCTCCATCCTCACAAAACCGCCTCGCTGCTGTTGTAATTCCTCTTGTCTCCTGGGAGGAATGAGATTCCTTTCCCAGGACTTCCACAGCCCTCATCTGCCACGTCTCACAAACAGGGAGGAAAACCCTGTCAAGATCTGGTGTGTCCAGATTTTTTAGTGGGCAGGGCCTGTAAGAGAGGCGCATTTACCTTAATGCTAATGCAGCTGAAGTTTCAGGGCCCCTTGTTTGTAGGGTTGTCTAAGACCCTGTGCTTAATTTTGACTCATCATTCGATATTTTTTTTAAATGTATTTTATTGATTTTTTACAGAGAGAAAGGCAGAGGGATAGAGAGTTAGAAACATCGATGAGACAGAAACATTGATCATCTGCCTCCTGCACACTCCCCACTGGGGATGTGCCCGCAACCAAGGTACATGCCCTTGACCGGAATCGAACCTGGGACCCTTCAGTCCGCCGGCGGACGCTCTATCCACTGAGCCAAACCGGTTAGGGCATCGATATTTTTGTTAATGAGTTACCCCCCTCACCCCGCCCAGAAAAAATAAATTTAAAACAAATTTCAGCCCCAGAATCCAATTCTGCCCTTGGAACATACACAGGACATTTTGTGTCACAGGAACTGATTTTCTTGTTTTGACTGGGAAACAGCAAAGGATTTGGGAAGAGAGGTCTCGGCTTTCCCACCATGATGATAGGGTGAGTTTGATCCAGTCACCTGATCCCATTTTCCTTATCTAGAACATTAGAATAGCAACCCTACATCCTCTGCTTTCCTCACCAGGATTAGAGGGTCAAGCGAAATGATGTATGTAAAACTGTAAGATGCTACTCACCACAATCACAGTGGGAGAAGCTTAAACCCCAGGGAATGTGCAAGTCTTCCATGCACAGATCTGGAGTCCAGGTGAACATAGTGGCCGGGCTAAAGGACCTTTCGGTAAAGAGTTTTGAAATAAAGCAGGTTGAACATGAATCATAAGAATGATTACTATTGACACTTCATTCCCTGGGCAGCGAAAAATCATGGCTGGCACTCTTCCCACTTGGAAACAGATGGGCTTGTTTTACATCTATTGCGTCCCTGGTGAGGTCAGAAGTCCAGGTCTTGGGCTCTGGGCCAGAGCATGAGGGAATCTGCCCTTGGTCCTTTTTCTTTGCCCCCTCTCCCAATTTATCCATCCCTCCCTTCCAGTTTTCTGCCCTGTGACTTGGAGCAGAGCCTCCGCATTCCACAACCCCAGCCCAGGCTGGTGACAAGGCATAATCCTAACTACAAGCTCTCTGCTTGGCCCCGGCCTTTCCCCGGGTTGCCAGTACTTCAGCAGCAGCTCATATAAAAAAAACCCTAGTGTGCCTGGAATGCCTTAACCAAAATGTGGTACTTGAATTCCGAGTGTTCGTGGAGTAATTTTAGACAGTGAATAGATGAACATATTATTTTTAAAGTCATATATTTTTATGTGTTTTGGAAATGTCCTGTTTAAAAATATATATATTGACTTCAGAGAGGAAGGGAGAGGGAAAGAGAGAGAGAAACATCAAGATGAGAGAGAATGATTGATCAGCTGCCTCCTGCCAGCCCCCTACTGGGAATCGAGCCCACAACCCAGGCATGTGACCTTGACTGGAATTGAACCCAGCACCCTTCAGCCTGTAGGCTGACACTCTATCCACTGAGCCAAACCAGCTAGGGCGAAATGTCCTGTTTTTAAATTTTTATTTAAGACTAGAGGCCCGGTGCACAAAATTCATGCAGGGGGGAGCGGAGGGAGTTCCTCAGTCTGGCTTGCACCCTCTCCAATCCAGGACCCCTTGGGGGATGTCCGACTGCCTCTCACAATCTGGGACTGCTGGCTCCTAACTGCTCACCTGCCTGCCTGCCTGATTGCCCCTAACCGCCTCTGCCTCGCCCTGCACTTGGGACACAGGATTCCCTCCTCCAGCCAGTCTCAGGTACCCGGGACCAGGGCTTCTCTCCCTCTGTCCCGCTGCAGGCACCCAGGACCCAGGTTGGCTTTGCCAGGGCCGGCCGCAGCCACAGGGGACCGTGGGAGGGCAGCTTGTCCCTCTCCCAGGCCGTAGCCTGGCTGGTCCCCATTCCTCTCTTGTGAGCTCATTTGTGCCTGGCTGGTCCCCATTCCTCTCTCCGCAGTGTTGAGTGTCTGAGCCGTTACACTGTGACGGCATGATGACCATTTGCATATTAGCTCTTTATTGTATAGGATAGTGACATAAAGACTTCTCCTGTCTCTTTTCTTTCTTTTTTTTTTTTTGGGGGGGGGGGGGAGTACTGTCCCTTATTTCTTTTTATTTTTTTTAATTGAGGTAGAACTTACAGATAAATAAGTATACACATCTTAAGTGTACAGCTTGATGAATTAGTATACATGTCGTGTGTGTGTGTGTGTGTGTGTGTGTGTGTGTGTAATGTAACCGCCACCCAGATAAAGATATTGAATATTTCTAGCATCTAGCAAGCTCACTCAAAGTCCACATTCATCTCCAAATGTCACCAATATTCTGAACTCTTATTGCCAAATAGAAGTTGAGCCAGTTTTTGGAGTTCGTGTACATAGAATTATACAGTGTGCACTCCTTTACGTCTGACCTCTCATTCACCATTATGTCTGAGACTGTCATGTTGGATGTAGGGCTAGGGCTGAGTTATATACTATTTTAAATATAAAATATAACTATATTTTATATACTAAAAATATCCTCGGTGAGGATTAAAAAGTTCATTCCTTTTCATTGCTATAGTATCCCATTTCATAAATATACCACTATTTATTCTTTCTATTTCTAATGGTCATTTCAGTTGTTTCCGTTTTTTACTGTTATAAATAAAGCTGCTCCAAACATTCTAGTGCATTCCTTTCGGTAGACATATGGCATCCATTCCTCTCAGGTATATTTCTAGGGGTGGAATTTCTGGATTAGGATATAAATATATTGAACATTAATTGCCCAATGGTGTTGGCAGTGTTTTTGGATTTTTGGACATGTGTGTGTAGTGATATCTCATTGCTTTAATTTGCAGTTCCTTAGTGGCATATGATGTTGAATATCTTTTCACATGCTTAGTTGCCATCTGTTTATGCTTTCTGGTGAGATGTCTGTTCAGATCTTTGTCCCATTTGTCAGTCAAGTTGTTTGTTTTCTTGTTGAGTTTTAAGAGTTCTTTGTATGTTTTAGGTGATAGTCCTTTACCAGACATGTCTTTTACAAATATCTTCTCCCAGTCTGCAGCTTGTCTTCTCATTCTCTTGATATTATCTTTTGCAAAGCAGAAGTTTTTTATTTTAAAATTGAACTGTGACCTCCTGGTTCATGGGTCCATGCTCAATCACTGAGCCACACCAGCCCGCGTAATATTTTTTTGTTGTTGTTGTTCGTTTGCTTATTTGTTTGGAGTTCTCTGAGTTTCTTGGATCTGTGATTTGGTGTCTGAAATTAATTTGGGGAAGTCTCAATCATTATTGCTTCAAATATTGCTTCTGTATGTCATTTTCCACCCCATTACTGTGAATATGTGTCGTTTGTGTGTGTATGTGTGTTTTAATCATCACTCGAGGATATGTTTTATTGATTTTTAGAGAGAAGAAGGGAGAGAGAGAAACATCGATTGAACCTACAACTTAGATTATGTGTCCTGACCAGGAATCAAACCTGCAACCTTTTGATGCATAGGAGGACGCTCCCACCAACTAAGCCATTGGGCCAGGGCTTTGTGTCCTTATATTTAAAATGGGTTCTTGTAGGTAATATATAGTTTTTTGTATTTTTATCTATCTGACAATCTGTTATTGAATTGGTATATTTAGACCATTGATATTTAAGGTGATTATTAATGAATATAGTAGGATTAGTATTTACCATATTTGTTACTGTTTTCTATTTGTTGCCTTTGTTCTTTTTTTTTTTTTGGTATTCCTGTCTTCCACATTTTTCTGCCTTTTGTGGTTTTAACTGAGTATTCCATATGAGTTAATCTTCTCTCCTTCATTAGCATAACATTATACTTTTTCCTGCTTTTTTTAGTGGTTGCCCTAGAATTTGCAATATAATATTCAAGTCCATTTTTAAATAACACTATACCACTTAACGGGTAGTGGAAGTACCTTATAATAACAAACTATTTTTAAATGTTTTTTGTTTAGTGATATTTTTATTATATGTGAATATTCTCCAGGCGAATTAACTATTTATTTAGTGATATTTTTATTATATGTGAATATTCTCCAGGCGAATTAACTAAGTCCTGAAACAGCAACAAAAATATCTTATTCAGATATTTTATAATTCTGATACCTGAAATAAAGACAAATAGAAAACTATGTTAAAACATTAAAAGTTGCAACTTTTCATTAAAAGGATTTACATTTGTAGCCTAATGCCAATTTATACATACAATTCTTTTTTTTTTTAATTTCATTTTTATCTTGGAAAAGCAATGTAAGTTTAAAATGAAATAACAAGTACTTTGATATGTCATCATTTTTTATGGTACTACATTTATTGAAAGTGTGAAGATACAGAACCTTTATAAATATCTAGAATGAAAAATTACCTATGAAGATAAAAACGGATTGGTTTTAGCCGAAACCGGTTTGGCTCAGTGGATAGAGCATCGGCCTGCGGACTGAAGGGTCCCAGGTTTGATTCCGGTCAAGGGCATGTACCTGGGTTGCGGGCACATCCCCAGTGGGAGATGTGCAGGAGGCAGCTGATCGATGTTTCTCTCTCATCGATGTTTCTGACTCTCTATCCCTCTCCCTTCCTCTCTGTAAAAAATCAATAAAATATATTTAAAAAAAATAAAAAATAAAATAAAAAACGGATTGGTTTTAAAAAGTCAATTTAGTAAATATTCTGTTTGCTATGTTTCTATGACAATATTTGGTATAAACACTACAAAATAAGGCAAACTTCTGGAAAAAGTCATTAATAAAATTTTATGAAAAAGCGTTCAGTCCTAGTTTCTTTTAATTTGTAGAATCACTGGCGAAGTACATCAGGCGAGTAGAGCAGTTTCAGAGGCCCAGTTTCAGACAGAAGGAGCCTTCTCTATTTTGGTGCCAGAGGTGGTCGGACGCCCCGCCGCTTCATTTCGTCGAGTCCTTTCCAGTATTTAAAATTGTTGTCCAGGTGCTGCAGTGACTCCTGTAGGTCTACAAAGTCGTCCCAAGCACGGTACATGTCCGTGACGAAGTAGTCGATGCAGGAGATCTGGGACTGGGGGATGCTGCAGGTGTTTCGGTCAAAAGCTGGCATCGCCACAGCTAAGTCCAGCTTCTCTTCTTCTTCGGTCTGAGAAAAATACTCCTCCGAGATGCGTGCGGCCCACTCGATGCACTGCTCCAAGGCCGGCAGGGGTGGGACGCGTCCGCGCACTTGCTCATCATCTGCTTGATCAGAGTCCGGCTCTCTGGAGACCGGAGCATCGTGTCTACGTCACCAGGGTTTGGCTCACTCCCCTCGCTTTCCTCCAGCTCCGCCAAGGGCTTGACGACGCTGTTGACAAACTTATTGATGTGCTCGAAGTGCCTGGTCATCTCCGTGGCCAGGACCATGTCGACGATGGCCTGGCGCAGCGTCCGGTAGTCATTCCTCTCCACATTCTTGAAGATGTTGCGCTTGCCCTCCTCGGCGGTCAGCTGGAAGGCCAGGGCCGCGTGGTGGCTCTCCAGCACGGCACGGTCGTTGTACAGCACGGCCAGGGGCTGCCCGCGTTGCACAGGAAGAGGTTGGTCCTCCCCGGGGGGTCCGGGTCGTGGATGGCGGCTGCGATGAGGGCGGCGGCCTCGTCCCCTGAGCCTAACGCTTGCTTGATCCTCTCCTGGCAGAGGAAGGAGGCGGTGGCGTGCAGCCTGGGTGGAGTTGTGGTAGGGGTTGGAGGAGTGGGAGTTGGCTTCCCTAGTCTGCAGCCACAGTCGCAGCGTCGTCTCCGAGCGCTTCAAGAATTCACAGACCCCAAAGCGAGCGAAGATTTTGAGACCAAGAAAAGTCAAAGGCCTTTTCTGAGTGGCAGTCTCCAGTGCAAAAGCATTCAAGTCCCCGTCGTCAGCGTTTTCCGTGGCCTCGGCTATCCGCGGTGGGATAGCGCGAAGGGACTCGGAGGCGAGTCAGCTGCCCGGAACTTGCTGCAGGTTTTTTGTGGAGAGAGTGTACTCATTCCCAGACAGTCTTCGAAAACCGTCAGACATCAGGCCCCCAATGAGGTCCTTGGTGTGAGGATCCTCTTCCTTCGCCCCGAACTGTGGTGAATACAGGACGCGGCCGAAGGCTTCCATCACAGGCATGGAACTGTTCTCCTGGGCAGCACCCGACTCAGAGCCCACTGTTGTTTCAAATGCTGGGTTTACATCCTGTATGTAGTTGTCCTCACTCGTGATTTTTTTTTTTTTTTTATATTTTATTGATTTTTTACAGAGTGGAAGGGAGAGAGATAGAGAGTCAGAAACATCGATGAGAGAGAAACATCAATCAGCTGCCTCCTGCACATCCCCCACCGGGGATGTGCCCGCAACCCAGGTACATGCCCTTGACCGGAATCGAACCTGGGACCTTTCAGTCCGCAGGCCGACGCTCTATCCACTGAGCCAAACCGGTTTCGGCCTCACTCGTGATTTTAATGGCGTCTTGGCTGTTCTCCAGTGCAGTGAATACTGAATTACAAGCCCTGCGTTTCAGCTGTGACGGCACCTCTCCAAACTCCAGCTGCCGCAGTCCGCGAAACAGGCCTGGAGGCTGGGGTTCTCCACGCACCTCCTCGGAAAGCCGGCACGAATGAGGGACATCGCAGGCTCTTCTGCATCCCGCCTGCGTACTGCACCAACAGTAACTGTTTTCTGAAACTTGTGTGGCTCGAATAGACTGGCACAGCGCCGGGGCGTCCAGCGGCTGGAGGTTTCTGTGGTCGATGATGATGATGTCGTGGTTTGCAGCCAGGAAACAGGTCAGGGCAGCCTGGACCTCCAGGGCCACCGTGCACTTAAACCCTGCTTTCTCACACGCCTTACGGAATCCTTCACACTGGCTGTCGTCTTTGATAAACGCCAAAAGTACCTGGAGTTGATCTGCATGAAACCTCATGGGGCCAAAATGCACGTGAGATGTTGGTCTCTTGGAGTCGGGGTCCGCGGGGCGGGCGCCGCTGGTGGTGGCCAAGGCTTCGGGCTCCGGACCAAGCAGGGCGCCGCGGGGTCCTGCACATCCTCGGCCTCCCGGGCGCCCGGGTACACGGTCTGGGTCTCGGGAATGTGGCTGCTCGGGGCGCAGCCCATGCTGGCGGGGCGCCAAGGACACGCTGGCGGCGGCCGCTCTCCGGTCAGCAAACGGTCAGCAAGCGGCCCGCCCGGCGCCTCGCGGCCACCGCCAGCGCCGTGTCATCGCTGCCTGGGCACGCGGGCGGGCGGATGGCGGGAGCGCGGGTCTCCCATACAATTCTTTTAAATTCGATTGGTAGAATATTCTGTAATATGAAAATAACAAATAAATATTTTTAATTACCCACAACATATTCATGAATAAATTTTCGACTATTAATTATTGTTCCAAATTCAGATGCTTACTTATGAATGGCTGACAAAGCTTATAGTTCCTTTTACATTTTTACCCTTTATTCTCGGTTCCTTAATAGTATATAACTCAGCCCTAGCCAGTTTGGCTCAGTGGATAGAGCATTGGCCTGCAGACCAAAGGGTCCCGGGTTGGATTCTGGTCGAGGGCATGTACCTTGGTTGCAGGATCCTCCCTGGCCCAGGCCCTGGTCAGGATGTGTGCAGGAGGCAACCAGTCAATGTCTTTCTCTCACATTGATATTTCTCTCTCTGTCTTTCCCTCTCTCTTCCACTCTCTCTAAAAATCAATGGAAAAATATCCTCGGTGAGGATTTTAAAAAAAGTATATAACTCTGTAAAGCAAGTATGTCAAACTCACGGGGCTGCATGCCTGCTTGCTGTATAGCTTTCATGGCCACAACTATTGCCATGGATCATTTCAAATGCATGATGTTTCTGTGACCAGCAAGACTAGCCTGTATTATTTTTTTAATTTTTAAAAATATTTTTATTGCTTTTCAGAAAGAGAAGTAGCAAGAGAGAAAGAGAGAAACATCTATGTGAGAGCAAAACATCAATTGGCTGCCTCCTGCGTGTCCCCCAGGCGGGATGGAGCTGCATAACCCTTCCACGTGTGGTACGATGCCCAATCAACTGAGCCACATCGCCAGAGCAATAACTAAACATTTCTAATTCCTCTCTCTCTTGTCCCTTGTATCATTGCTGTCATTCCCTTCATTTACACACAGTCAAATACATTTTTGCTATTATTATTTTGAACAAACTGTTTTCTGTTAGATCAATTAAAAATAAGAAAAATAAATGTTTTTGTTCTACCTTTTCTTACTCCTTTAACAATACTTTCCCTTCCTTTTTAAACATTTATTTATTGATTTGAGAGAGAAACATCGATTTGCTGTTCCACCCATTTATACAGTCATTGGTTGATTCTTTTATGTGCCCTGACCGGGGATCAAACCTGCAGCCCTGGCACATCAGGACAATGCTCTTACCAAGTGAGCTACTCAGCTAGGGCCTTACCTTCACTTTTGAAGGATAATTTCACAGGGTGCAAAATTCTAGGTTGGTGGTCATCTCTCTGTCAATACTTTATATACTTTACTTTCTCTCTTTGGATTGTTGGATGCAACTCTTATCTTTGCCCCTTTGTAGATAAGTTTTTTTCCCTCTGGCTTCCTTCAAAAATTTTTTTCTTTACCTTGAATTTTCTGGAGTTTGAATATGATATACTTTTGTGTAGGGTTTTTGTTTTGTTTCGTGTTCTCTGAGTTTCCTGGATCTGTGATTTGGTATCTGACATTAATTTGGGAAATTCTCAGTCATTATTGCTTCAAATACTGCTTCTGTTTTTCTCTTTCTTCTCCTCCTGGTATTTCCATTATGTGTCTGCTATACCTTTTGTAGCTGTTCCACAGTCTTCGGATGCTCTGTCTGCTTTGTTTTGTTTTGTGTTTTTTTTCCTCTCTCTTTTAGTCATTATTCTCTTTGCTTTTCAGGTTTGGAAATTTTTATTGTCATACCCTCAAGCTCACAGATTTTTTTTCTCAGCCATGTTGTCTGTTAATGAGCCCATCAAAGGCATTCTTTATTTGTTACAGTGTTGTTGTTTTTTTATCTCTAGCACTTCTTTTTTATTCTTTTCTAGAATTTCCATATTTCTGCTTAGATGATCTATCTGATCTTTCATGTCATCTATTTTTTTCTATTGAATTGGTTGACATATTAATTATAACTTTAAAAACTCCTAGTTTATTAATGCCAACATTCACGATCATATCTTAGTCCTGCTGTTTATTCTGCCTTTTCAGACTGTGTTTTTGCCTTTTAGTATGCCATATAATTGTTTGCTGAAAGGCAGATATGAGGTTCTGGGTAGAAGGAACTGTGTAAATAGGTCCTTAGTAATGTGGTGGTGAGGTGTGTTGGTGAGGAGGCATTCTCTAGGCCTATGACGAGGTCTCATCTTCTGGTGAGCCTTTCTCCTGGACTGTGAACTTTCAGTTAGGATCTGATAAAACCCCAGCAGGTTAGGCTCTGGTAAAATAGTTTCTCCTGAGGCAAGCCTTCTGAAGAACCGAATGCTCTGCCATATTTAAAAAATGGTTC